TACAAGTGTTACAAACATTTATAATTATAATATTAATAATGATTAATTCATCTCTGTTTCGGTCAATTTTTTTTCATCATCAAACAATTGCCAAGGGAGTGAATATATTCTCCTTATTATTAATACCAACACGTATTTCATTCAACTGAGAGTCCGTTTTCCTGACTTGAATGACGAAATAAGCTATTTCCACGCTCGTCGTAATATCGTTGACGTAACGATCGGATGTAAAAGTGGATAGAGATATCCCATGCGGAGATAATAAACGTCGAGATCGAGCAATTTTTCCGGAACTCGAGTGAGAACGGCGTGTAGAAACGTGTTCATTGGTTGGAGATAAAAAAGGAAAAGTCAGTATGTATGTATGAGATATCCTCGCTCTGTTATCAAATATAACGATGCAGTCACACGCAAAATTCTCTTGCCAAATATCGAATCCAAACTGACCACGTAGAAACTTATATACGAGATTCGCGATTTTGTCTTCTTCATATTCATATTTCTCGAGATACTCGTGAAAAAAAAAACTACCGTAAATTTGATAAAATTCGATTTCCATCAACCCATGTATCGAAAATATTTTTACTTGATGTCCATGAAGTGACGTGTTGCATCGATATTTCAAACTTAAAATTTTTATAACCAGAAAAATATCGAAATTAAAATTAAAAATATCGGTTTATCGAAATTATGGTCAAATTAATTTTGACTAAGTCGAAAATTAAAATTGCTGGGTGAAACGTTTCCAGAAAGTTCCATTATCGATCTTAATTTAACCTTAAAGGGACACACCCTTAAAACGTAGACCTGAGCCGAATACCAAGCGATCGGTGATTTTAATAGTCAGTCCTGGTCGTGTATCGTTTGTCAGAATTGGATCCCCGCGGCGTTTATTTCGGCTGCAGCCGAGGGTGAAACACATTTTCAAAGATATATTGAGAGGGTGACTCGTTTCTACGGGGGTGATCGATATAACACATGCGCCCTACGGTGTACAGATTCCTGGCTGAAACCCGCGTTCAACAGCTTTTCAACTTGTATACAAACCCAGCGCTCTCCGCAGTTTCCTTCTGTCGTCACTTCTCCTCTGCCGTCGTAATAAATCGGCCGTGTTATCGCTTTCGAGCAGATAAAGCTTCATTGATCGTGGAAGATCGTTCGATTCCGTGATTATCGCAACGTGGTACATGGTGATTATTCGATTATAATTCGAAGCCATTACACGCGTAATTAAAATCGTTCCATTGAATTCTTCTGAATATCGACACGGTAAGTTCGAAGCGTGATGTGTATTAATATCCATAGGTATTGTATTGTATTTGAAATAAGTGCGCGATGGTTTTGTTGATGTTTGAGTTGGAACCGATTCCCTTCCCAAAGAAAAATTAATTAACGATGGATCATCTCTCGATTGATTAATTAATCTCTTCGAGGCAACGATCTTCCTTTCAGCAACGAATGAAAATATTATAACGCGTATAATGAGTTTTAACGTGAAGTGATACATCGATATCTGTATTGTGTAAAATAACGTGAAATTGTTACCAAATGAATTGTTATTTGTTATCTTTTTTAAAGATATATATTTTTTTGACAATGAATGGAATACAGCGAAGAAATGAAACGATTTCATCTCTAATTCTAAATTCTAACGAAACGTATTCTTTTATTACATCTTGTTAAGAAATATTATAAAATTTACTTGTTAGAAATATTCACTGCACTTTCGATGAAAAATAACAACATTCGACGCGGAGTGTATTTAGAGATAAAAGAATTAAGAAAATTAAAATATCTTCGAAAATGAATAATAAAGAAAAGATCCATCGGAATCAAAGGTCAGTTACATATTGCAAGTACGCAGAATCTATCTATCCGTTCGACATCTGATCATCGGTATTATTTAATCGTCTCCTCGTTTCCTGTTCCTTGCTAATTGCGCTAACACGACTATCGTAATTTCTATTTATAGTCATGAAATAACAACGTACCTCCACACTCCTGGTGTCGGCCTTCCGCCGTTCGTAACGTTTCAACGTTTCAAGAGAGGTGAAGAGAGGATCCATGAGAGGATAGGATGAAAATCGCTTCGAAGCCGATCGCGTTTCATCAGATTTCTTGGGTATCGATGTGTACTCGCGATCTCTTCTGACGGAATCTCAATGTCGTCTCCCGTGTAAGATAACACTGGTTGAAAATTTATTGAACAGGTTGCTCTCTTTTCCTCTCTCTCTCTCTTTTGTTGGATAATGTTTCGTGGATCACGTGCACGAGCGTGAAATTGAATTCAAACAATGGAGAAATACGTAGTCCTTGCCCTTGCTTAAATGGAAAACAAACGATCGGCCCGATTAGGTTATCGAACGAGTTATATTGTTCTCTGTAAATTGACTCTGTGTGAGTCGTGAAACATATTACGAACACGCCAATATATGTGAACATGGTCCTTGATAAATCATGTTTTTATTAGTTTTGCTAATATTGCCTTCTCATACACGTTATTCAAAGAGGCATTTGAATGTTCTCTCTTCTTACCTTTTTTTTTTTTTTCGGAAAATCGTTCAATTCTTCGTAGTATGTGTATTAATCATTTACTTATTATCGATTTTTATCATAAATTATGGATATAATATATCAAAATATATGATATTTATAATATAAAATAGATTTATGGTGACATTTCGATCAACAATGAAACTAGGTATCGAAAGATATAATTTTTCAAAGACTTAGACGAGCTTGATTTTTATTATTTCAACAACAAAGCTTGTTAGCTATAAGAAATATAGTTTGATCGACTGTACTCTTTCTTGAAACGTAGAAACTCAAATAAAAGGTATATATTCGTTCTATTGTATCTTAGAATCCTTTATTCAAGCAATAATACCACGAGGAGGCACAATACCGTCCACGTAGCAAAGAGACCGATACAGAAGAGGTTCCAAACTATTTCCAATAGCCGATTCAGTCCTATTTCATCGTTCAGCTATCGATTAGCTTAATTGAAAAAAAAATATTATCTGCTACTCGAGATAGGAAAAATATTTCGTATTCCAAGATACGAAACTCTTCGTTATTAATTAATTCTCACAAAACCTATTAAGATAGGAGAGATTTTATTCCACAATAATTTGCGTAATGACATGTAATCTGCATCGATTTAATAACACGAAAAAATATTATTCGATCGCTAATTATCATTTAAATGTCAATTTGTGAAGGCCGCCTACTCGAATTATGCTAAATCGATAGCTCGCGTTGCTTGACCTCAAAACGTCGCGTCGTCGACGTGTCTACCTGGATACGTGTAATAGCGTGAAATCCAGATACATAAAAGATACTTTATTTCCTTTTTTTTTTTTTTTTTTTTACAAGCACAAACTTGACCCACTTGGATAGAACCATTTTTGCATCATGCGATGCCTTTTTCAACTTGTTCGCACGTCGAAGGGAAATAAAATTTCTCTATCTTGCGTGATATTGCAGGCGCAAGCATGCAAGCCGAGAAGGCAGATAACGAAACTGAGAAAAACGACGCAAAGGTAGAGAAGAACGAGGAAGCCGAGACGGAGAAAAGTAACGCGGATGGGGAGAAGAAAGGGGAGGACAAAGCGGAAACGAACGGTGCCACCAAGGAGGCGACCGAATGCGTGGCGAATTTGAAAATCGAAGAAAACGAGACAGGAAGATTGACGCCTAGCAGTCCAAGCGCCGCGCAGTCTGGCAGCTTTTTGCAAAGTTTCAAGGCTTTTTCGAAATTCGGCGATCCGAAAAGCGATGGGAAATTGATCACTCTGAGTCAGAGCGACAAATGGATGAAACAGGCGAAGGTGATCGATGGAAGGAAGATCACAACCACCGATACTGGGATTTATTTCAAGAAACACAAGTACGAGAATTTTTTTTTACATTTAACAGGTTCAATACGATATTTTAAAAATTAAATAGAGTTCATATTGATAGATATTTTTGACAATTTGTGTAAAAAAAAAAATAATAATTGTAAAATATTAAGCGAAATCAAAAATGGCTGATGCACGACTGATTTGTTATAGTATATTAAAAATAAAATGGTATCGATTTTGTTTCTAGATCCATGAAATTAGGTATCGAACAATACAAATCGTTCTTGGACGAGCTGGCCAAAAGTAAGAAGGTCGATCCAGCGGAGATGAAGAAGAAAATGGCGAATTGTGGACCACCTGGAGTCTCAGCCGGCGCTGGTGGAGTAAGTATTGTAAATTGAAATATTAATCCGAAAGTTTATCGTCGATTCCGAATGTTTACCGACAAAGTAAAGACAGGGGACAGGGTCAGGTTCAGAGTTTATACCACACGTGATCGATGACAACAAGTTTCACGATTTCATAAGTCTAACCAAAGTAGAAATAGCTTGTATATCGAATATCATGTCCTTGCGTGTCACGTTATCGACACTAAAGATTTATGACGTCGCCAGACCTGACCTGTGGATATATCGTTTCTAACGATGAATTTTAAATTCTCGCCTACGTATGTGCGTCCTTCGTCTTAATTAGGTCAATGTTTTTCAACTATGCTAAGTGCATCTCGCAAAAAACTGCTAAAACATTCTAAGAAATACAAATTGAAATCTAAATGTCATTTTACAAATATTGAATGTATAAATTTATAATTTTCCTATTATTTGGAATTTAAAATTTTTTCTCTCTCTTTTTTTTTTTCTCAATCCATTTTATATATCCTTCAAATTTATATCATACGAATATCTATCTAGATTTTACTACAGAATGAAACAAAAGTAACAGTATTCCCATTATCAAGCATAGAATAGGATGAAATTCTTTTTCTTTCAATAATGGAACAACCAAATACCATTAATCATATTTACCTGTTCATTACCTTTATTATTTAATTTTTAGACAGGAAAAGCGGCCTCCACGGTGGACAGACTCACGGACGTGAGCAAGTACACAGGATCGCACAAGCAACGATTCGACGAAAGCGGAAAGGGGAAAGGTATCGCCGGCCGAAAGGATATACCCGACCAATCCGGCTACGTGCAGGGCTACCAAAACAAAGACACCTACAAGGCCCACTAGCTTCAGATTCGCGCGCTTCTGTGATGTCTTCGACACTCTGTTGTCCCGTCCACGCACTTTACACGAAACGTCGTCGCGTTCTTGCCTCGTCTTCGTTATCCTCGCGTTCCTCGATCTGCACAAGGTTCTTCCGCAAGATTCGCAGGCCCGTTGAACGGTGCCGTCGACGATCGATGCAGAGAAATCGATGATCGGCGAACGCGTTGCAAGATAACCTCGATAGTACCGATTGTCGGTAAAGAGAATCTCGAAGCGAGTTTTCCGCTTCGACGTTGATTCTTCGCGGCGAAGAGCGATTCGAGGAAGATGGTGATGGATTTGGAACGCGGTTCGTGGACTCGGTACTCGGTCTTTCTTGGACAATTGCTGCTGTAGATTTCGACAATGCGTTTTTACCCATGGAACATCTGGGAGTGGGGCTTTTCCTTTAACAACAGGGAGATACATTTGTTATACTAATCCGAATGCAAGCTGTAATTATCGTATTTCACTCTGTTTCGATTTCCGACACTTTGTAGATCACCGTGTTTCGTTTGCTTTGTACTTCGTTCCACTCGAGCTCATCGATCAGAGAGCTTCCTCGCTTTTCTCACGAACAATTGATCCCAGATGTGATTCCAGTTTCTACGAGGTATATATATATATATACGTGTGTGTGTATTTAATTATTTGTCAGTTAATAGTCTGTAGAATTTAAAGAGACTGAGATAAACACGAAAGTGGATATAGAAAAATGAGGATAGAAACTTATTTATTACATTCGTCATACCAACATTTTTGTATATCAAATATTATAGTTTTTTTTGTGGTTTTCATTCTTTAAATTTTCTTTCTACTTTTGAATATTCTATATACAGTTATTGATGGATCACAAGAGTAGATAATTTTTAAATCAATCTCATTCGAATTGATCATTAAACTGGGATCATTTGATGATTAAAGAAATAAGATCATGCAATCTCGTAATAACTTCGTTCAATTGTTCATTATAGAATATAGAATGTTGAACTCGTGTGATTTTGATCGAAAGACAATTTCTTTTCTCTTCGACATTTGCACAATTATTTCGACAGAAGCGCAAGTACAAATATCGCTTGATTTTCTTTGTCTTTCGAACGCAAATCGCGTGTTGAATCGAAAATCTAAATGTGATGCTATTCGAACTTCAAATTTCTTTTATACGCTGTTCTCGATCATACATCTCGACATATGTATATCAAAACGATCATAAATGTAAAATCTTGACTTAAGAATTGATTATTGTTTCATGAAAACGATTAAGTCGAAGCTGCAAAGCAGACGATTCTAATTTCTTCTACTTAATATGCGTGTAAAGATACGAATGTGTTTGAGTGTAAGATTCTCGAGAGTTATTTTCGAAAGTTATTTATGTAGACATTAATGGACACTAATGGATTGACAAACAATAATTTTCTTAATGCTTGTGGAAAATATTCTCGAAAAATGAAATTGAAGAGAGTATTTTAAACACCGTGATAAGAGAGATTATTCGATTATCCGTAATTTCCACTCTTAGTGTCTATTAGCGAAAAATAAGGAACTTTCGAGAGTATTGTTCTCAAATATATCTGTACTCTGATATATGCTTTTCTCCTCGAGGAATTTTCAAAGCTAATAATATCCTCAGATACGTAAAATGTCTACAAATGTCGTAGTATACGATGAAATTGATGCAAATTTCGAGATATTTATGGTTATTCTATACGAAGATGTATTTACGTATACATTATATTAATCGAATTAAAGTGTACTTAAAAGTTGGTCGCCCAGCGTGCAACGGTGGCGAACTCGAGACCAAAATCCGTAATTCTTGGTACTAATTCTTGAAGATATTTAAGTGAAATGCGAAACTCACCGTTTTCAATTGGCGACACGATTGTGAAAGCGACAGAATCTATTTTTCAAGATCTATTTTCAAAAATAATTATTATTTATTCCGTGTCTTCAAAAAAGTAGATTAAGAAAAGGCAATTCTCCGTTACTAGTATTCATATATATTTATATTTGTTACCAAACATTTTGTCGCCTTTTTTCTTTTCTTTTTGTTCTCACCTCGAAAATTATCTCGCTTTCGCAAAAGTGCCATCATCATAACGCACTTTACGAGTTCTTTCTAATCGATGTACACTTATTTAAGGGACAACGTACCTCGATCGATACTCTTCTGATTTCAGGAGTTCGTTCGATCATTCGAAACAATAAAGGCGAGTTGAAATAAAATTTATCCAATTATCCCATCACATTTTCTTAAAATTATTTTAAAATTGTTTGAAAGAGAATCTTTTTGTTTTTCTTTTTCGATAAAAAGTTCGTTTATTTCGTACCTCTGTGCTCCAAGGCAGAGACAAAATAACATTGTAGTCGTAATCGAAGTCCATACAACTTTGCAGCGCTTGTATTAACATAAAAATTCGGAAACGATCGTGACGGGTTACAGAGGAATTAAATGTGTATTAAATGCTTGGCAAGCGAGTGCATTATAAATACATTCAGCGAGATCGTGTTGCGTTTCGCACGCGTGGAAAAATGGCAGCCATGTTTAATCTACAGGCTGTGACAGTTTAACGCTGGAATCATATCAATATCAAAATTCTCTTTTATTAAATTGCATTTTTTTTCCTTTGTGGCGATATATTTAAAAAAAAAAAAAAAGAGAAAATACTGAAAGAAACAGAGAGGAAGAAACAATTAAATAACTTTCATTTAAATTACAACGACACTAAAAAATCAATTTTTTTTTTTACGCGTAATATAATATAAATACTTATATATATATTTACTATATATATATAATATGTGTATATATATATATATAGAAAAACGTATATATATTAAACTCTATATTCGATTTAGAATCGAATTGGACATAGTACAAAATCCTAACACGGTCATGCAATACAATTGCACAGAAAAGAAAAGAATAAAAACATATATAAATCCTTGCTGATTATCAAAAATGAATCAAGCAACGCAATGGAGAAGGAATATTTCTTCAAGTACGTACAACGTACGCAATGAGTCGTTAAATTAACAAAATAAAAAAAAAAAAAGGAAATAAACAAAATACTTCATTCGAATTTGATTGAATGTTTCGAATTGCCTCCAAATATTTTTTGAAAGCAAATCCTAAGCCATATTATCTTTTTAAAAAAAATCTTCGAGGAATCGCGAGTTCAGTTCAAGAAAAATCAACTTATAAATTAAATATACGCATGCAAGAACTGTTTCGGAGCTTGCATATAATCATTCCCTTTGTGAAAGAAAGGACGATATCTTAAACGTGGGCAATCAAAAGTCTTTTGAAAGACAAAAAAATAGATAATTTTACAATTCTGTGAGAGTGTCGACTGACGCTCGAAGGCGAGATCTGCTGGTAGAGTCAACCGATCCTTTGCTGGTCCCTACTCCATCCAATCTGGAAACTATTTCTTCCTTCAGAGTAACGAGAACGCGCCGATCCTGTCGATTTTGCGGTGGTGCGATCTGCAATGCCTCTTGGACGTCGGATAATGCGTCCTCCAGGAAGTCTGAATCAACTCGTGCTTTCGCCCTCGCGTAAAATGCTTCGTACGATACTGGGCGAACTTTTAGAGCTTCGTCAGCGAGCTCGATTGCTTCCGCACATTCCTGCATAAATAATAATAAAAAAAAAAA